AGGCCCCAGTCAAAAACTCCTTTTCATTTGGTTAACAGGGGCTCAGCTCATGCCTGTGCCTGCTGCAGTTGGGATTTGGCCTGGAGCAGTGTTTGGAGAGCTCTGGCTCTGTTCTGGCTCCCCACACTCCTCAGCATGGGCTGCTCCCTGCCAAGCAGTCCTGAGAGGGGCTCTGGTGATGAACCCTTCTGGCAAAGCAGAAAATTATCCCAGTGGCAGCCCCAAAGCCGTGCACCAGAGATCTGTGCACTGGAAAATGTTCTGCCCTCACTCAGCACTGTCCCAGGGAGGTGTCATGCTGAGCCAGTCTGAAAATGTAACCCTTGGATGAAGGAACATCAAAGATATATTTGCTATAACTGAGAAGTAATTTTGTACCTCTGAATCAAAACCTTTCCATGGCTTGGCCCCACACCTGGGCACACTGTGTTAGTCTTCCTGGGTGTCTGAGCTGAGCCCTGGGCATCTCCCACCACTGCATCTCCCACCCTTGCATGTCCCACCCTTGCATCTCCCACTCTTGCATGTCCCACCCTTGCATCTCCCACTCTTGCATGTCCCACTGCTCTATGCTGGTAACAGGGGAATGGTCCAGGAGGGCATTTGAAGAGCCAGGGGCATTTTATTTTCCAGCTCTCCCCATGCCCTGCCAGCTCAAGTCAGCCCATAATTCTGCAGCCACCCAGGGCCCAGGTGAGCCTGAATGTCCCCTCTCCATGGATCACAGCTGGCAGTGTGGGAAGGCAGCCTGAGCTGCCCTCCAGCTCCATGTCCTGTCCTTTACTTAGTCCAAGTCTTCTTAAAAGGCCAAAAGGCAAAGCAGGAGGATAAAGGGTGGGGAATTTCCTCCTGGGCATGGCTCTGTGACCCTGTGGGTTAAGCATGTGGCTATTTTGAAACCAAGCAGGCAGGGTGAGAGGTGATGGGGTCTCTGCTGCCAGCAGTGGGGTTCATGTGCTGGAGCTGGAGCTGGGGCAGGGGCTGTGCTCTCCCCCTCATCAATTTTAGATTGAATCCCAAAACTTTCCAGACCAGATCCTGGTGTCTTCTGCAGGTCTGTAGGATGGCAGGGCTGAGGAGATACCAAAGGCTTCCCCTGAGTGCAGTGGGAGAGGCTGGTGGGTCTTGTGGGGCTGCAGCTCTCCTCTGCATTTGGGAGACAGGAAGGGGAAGAAAGACCAAACTTTTTGTTTCCAGGCTCTTTGTCTTTCTCACAAAGCTGGAAAACAATGGAAAGAAAGTGTGTAGGACGGGGAAGGAAGATCTTGTGTGAGTGAGACACACAGAAGCTGGGAGCTGCTGTCTCAGTCACAGGGGAAGCAGATGGGACTGCAGTGGGACTGGGTGTGAGTGCACAGAGCCACTTGGCAAAAGTGTCCTCAGGAGCATCGTGGGGCAGATATTAACTCTCTCCAGCTTGTTTTAGAAGGTGAGGAGCTGAGAGGAGCCTGCCCAGCCCAGCTTTCCCAGCAGCAGGACAATGTGTGGCTGTGACTCAGGGCAGCTCTCACACCACATTCTCACTCAGGGGCAGCAGGGGAGAGCTGAACTCCAGATAACCTGCTAAGACTGAGGCAAGATCAGCTGGCCCTGGCTTTGCACTGCTGCCAGCACCAGCAGAAGCCGGAGATGGAGCAGTCCTGGCTCAGACAAAACAAAAAATCTCACTGGGATTTGTCGCCAGCTTTTGTCTGTGGATGGCTTTCCGCAAGGCTGGATCCCACTCCCTGCAGAGCTGTGCAAAACCTGCATGTACCAAGAAACACGGCAGGGTGAGCTAAACTTGCACATCCCCACAAAACATGGCAGGGTGAGCTAAACCTGCATGTCACCAAAAAGCATGGCAGGGTGAGAAAAACCTGGATGTCACCAAAAAAACATGGCAGGGTGAGCTGAACCTGCATGTGCCACAAAACATGGCAGTGTGAGAAAAACCTGTACATCCCACAAAACATGGCAGGGTGGGCTAAATCTGCATGTCACCACAAAACATGGCAGTGTGAGAAAAACCTGCATGTACCAAAAACATGACAGGGTGAGCTGAACATGCACATCACCACAAAAGAGGACAGGGTGAGCTAAACCTGGATGTCACCAAAAACATGGCAGGGTGAGCTAAGAGCCACTCAGCTCAAAGCAAAGGTGAGAGTTGCTCCTGTCCCCACTGGGGATTTGCCCTCCTGGGCATCCATGGGAACCCTGAAGTGAGGACAGCGGGGAAATAAAAGCCTTCACATTAAAATAGAGCTTGTGGAGAAGCCACAGGTGCTCCAGGGTACTTGACTGGGATAGAAGATCAGGAGAGAGGGCTTGGGAGGATTTACCCTCAGAAGAGAGACAAAAAATAAAACTCCTCAGAGTCTCTGAAGTTATTTGTGCCCTGAGTTAGTGCTCTTGATGGATGTCCTCCTTGCAGCATTTGGTGAAAGTGAGTCTGAAGGTTGTTTAGCAGCAGTTTATTTTTAGCTGAGATGGCTTGTGACAGCACAATGGTGTTGCAACACCAGGGCTCTTGTCTGTGGCTTCGCTGTGCTTTGGTAGAGGAGCAAGTGATGGCTCTGACAGGGGCTCATTGTTGGAGAGGGCAGAGGTGTTGCAAGAGCTGGTTCCCTCCCAGGGAGGCAGAGAGCAGCGGGGAGGCAGTGGAGCTGGCCTGGTGGGCAGCCTGTGCGTCCCTGTCACAGCCCCACTGCAGCTGAGCCACCTGCCCTGACCCAGCACAGCCAAGTGCTACACAGCCCCTGGGTCTTCTTCTCTGAGGGGATGGGGATGGGATGCTCCTGCCACAGGAGCTCCTTCAGCTCTCCTTCCCGCCTTGCTGCTCCTGCACAGCTGCTTTGCTTTCCTCTCTATCATCTCTTCCACGAGCACGGACCACCCTGCTCTAAATGAGTTGTTCTAGCTCCAGCAACGCCACTGCAACTGTATGAAGTGACAGAACTGGAAACCAAACCAGGGCCAGGGAGGAGGCTGGGGGCCAAAAGGAAATCTGAACCCACAGCCCATCACTGTAACTAAACCTGTCTGCCAGAGGCAGCCTCCTCAGCTCAGCTTCTTACCTGAAGAGACATCAAAGGCACGAGGATCTGGTTTCCTCAGCTACTGTCCTTTCGCTTGTGCCTGTGCAAATCCATTAACTCTTGCCCAAGGTAACAGCCCAGAATGAAGTACCTGATCTGCCTCTTTTCAGGCAGCACAACCTGAGATGAAAGCTGTGCAAACTTGGCATGCCCCTCTGTAAATCCCTACGTGTTGATTCCCTGTCTCCTCCTCGAGTTTTACAGGATGCCGACAGCTTTCTGCCTGTTTTATGGTTCCATGGCAGCGGCTCGACACATCAATATGAGAATTAATTAATCTTGGCTACAGGGTAGGCAGCAGCTCAGGCAGCCCAAGAGCAAACAAGGTCAGGATTTCAGCAGCAGCCCATTTAGAGAACTTGCTGGGGCTCCAGCAGAGCAGCCTCATCTCTGCAATTTTTATTTGGATCACTGCTCTCTTGCTTGTTTGCAAGTTCTGTCCTGCTGGCAAGGCTGCTGTGAAGCCAAACCCAGAAGACTGTAGCAGATGACTCTGCTCCATACAGGGAGCAAGGATTAGGGCAGGGAGAGTGTTTGGCTCACAAACACAGTCACTACAAAACAATTACTGACTTAAAATCCCTTCACTGATGTCCCAACTTTCATTTGGTGATGTTAAAAGGTCAGAAGGAAAATTAAAGTTTTCTCTGCCCTAATCCCTTTAAGTGCTAAATTCATGGAAAGCAATGGAATCAACAATTTAGATTAAGGCAGTAGCTTCAGATGATGGAGAAACTCTCAAGGCTCCTCAAAGGATGCCTGAATAAAAAATGAAATGCAGCTTTTCAGAATGGGATTGCAATTGCCCTTGGCCTCCTGTTACAAAGATCCTCCCTGGTAAGTGAATAATCGAGGACAACCATGCTCATTGCAGTGCTCAGCCCTGCAACATGCCCACAGAACACAGGGAAAGACTTTGAGCAGCAGCAATAAATACAGGGGGAAAGAAAGATCTACGTCAGACTGACTCTGAATTAATCTGCTTCCTGAAAAAAATCAATAAATCATTACTGTTAGTAGTGAACAGTATTCATCAAGTTGATACTCTTTACAGTCCTTGGGAAGTATGAAATATTTTAATTTTTTTAAATTTTTCTTCTCCTTGTGCAGCCAAACTTTCTCTGGATCATCAGAGTGAGGATGCTGTGATGGAGGGGAGGGACGTCCCCTCCCCATGGAAAGGAGCACAGTGAGTACAAGCAGGGTGGCAGAAGCAAAGGCAAACCCAAAGGAGGTCTTGAGGGTGATGTGTCCCCTCTTTTCCTCAAGCCCTGGTCACAGACCCTGCTCCAGCTGAATGCCTCAGCTCAAGCAGGCAACAATCCCACAGGCTGTGAGCTGGTGGATTGGATCTTGCATGGTTTGGTTGGGATGCAGCCAGCTGGTTTCCTTGGTGCCTGTTGACAGAAGGGCTTTTGCTGCACACACAAGCCCCAGCAGTGACAAAACTCATGTCTCCCCTTCCAGCAGGAGAATGGAGAGATATGGCCCTGTCAGCAAAATGTATTTCTCATGTGAGTGGGTTGGGTTGGAAGGGAGGGAGAGATCACCCAGTTCCAACCCCTTCCACTATTCCAGGTTGCTTCAAGCTCCACCCAGCCTGACCCTGAACAATTCCAGGGACTCTGCTCCACAGCTTCTCTGGGCAACCAGGAAACTCATTCTGGACTTTCTCATCGAGCTGAAAAGATGATGAATAGTGCTGTGTGGATTTGCATGGCCCAGCATGCAAATAAACTGATAGTTTTATTCCAGGGTGAGATGACCCTTTGTAATCTAAACCACAGTGGTTGGCCATCCTGATGAAGCAGGAAAATCCTCTCATTAGGAGCAGAAACTTATTAAATTCCCATTTATCATTCTTAAACAGTGGTTCCAGCCATCCCTCTATCCCAAACCCTTGGCTTTAATTTCTCCTTTTTTTTTTTTTTTTTTTTAGCTTTAGATTTACCTAAGAAATTTCTTAATTTCTTGTCCTGAGAACAGTGCTGAGAAACATGTTTTCCATGACTGGTTCCTTCAGAAATGTTATTACTGGCTTGGGAGAATTCCTTGTACAATAAGATTAAGTTTCTCTTACTGGAAAATTCAGACACTACAAATTTTTAATGTCAAACAACCAAACAAGTGAAAACAAGTAATTTCCTCAGACCATACACAATCTGGTGTTGGTAGTTTTTCATGGGAAAATGCTTCACTCCAGTGTGTGTGCCTGTTCCTAAGGAAACTCATGGCAGATGGGGTGAGAGGAAAAACACACAGGATAATTACAAAGCCCCACTTATCAACCTGCTCCTAACTGTTCTTTGGAGTGGTAGGCAAACATGCAAAACACTGAACCACTCTGTATTTTTATGATGCTTTGAAGTGTGAGTTCCAAAGACATTTTAACTCACATCACTTCAGCATTTCCATAGCTGGGTAGTGCTGGTGTCTTGGGGCAACAGCCACCATCTGGCTTTCCAGAAAGTCCAAAACAGAGGATCCAGTTGGAAATACCATGTCCTTAACCAAGAGAAGAGGTGGGCAAAGGAAGGAGCTTGTGAAGTCTTGATGGGTAAGTCCCATCTTGGTCCTTCTCATGTCCTAAGGGATATTCCCACCATGCAACCTTCAGTGCTCCAGGGTGGCATCTTTGAAGTACAAACAGGTTGGTAGAAGGGGAACCATCATCCCTGACATATTTCAGAGGTGATTTTTCAGGGGTCCTTTAGTAGGGGACACTGACTCTTTCAGCCAAGCTTGTGTGGTTTTTTCCCACTTTTCTTGCATTGCTCTCCAGAGTGGAGTGGCAGAGAGGAGCTGAGTGCCAGCCCTGGGGAGCCTCTGCCATCAGCAGATGCAGGTGTTGGCAAGTGCAGGCAGGCTGCTAAAAATATCCTGCCTGCTTTATTCTTGCTTCAAAGGCCATTAAGTATTTCTATGAGAGTCTTTTTCATCTTCAGCATGGAGATCTGCCTAGTACTCCCACGCATCCTTTATAATCCCTGGAATCTCAGGTTCTTCCAAACAGGAATATCTGGGCTGCAGATCTGAGCAACAAAACCTTTAGTGCTGTGTGGCAGCACTGGGAAATACAGGCAGTGAAGCTGAATTTCTTCCCCTTTAAGCCATCCTTGCAACACTAATTCTACTGAGTGCAGGCTGTGGGTTTAGTTCCTGTATCTGCAAAGAGCACAATCAAATCCAATTACACTCCACATGAGCATAATCCACAAATGTGACTTTTTAATGCAGACTATTTAGGTCTGCTTCATAAATAGCAGAGGGGTGCTGTGAGGAAGTGCAGTTGTCTCACCCACAGGCACCTCACAGAACCCAACACACCCATGCCTTAAAAACAGAAGCACATTGCTCTGCTCTCAGCCAATGCATTCCCAGTGTGTGCTCTGTGATTCCTAGCAGCCCTGTGATTCCTAGCAGCCCGGGTGTTTTTAGTCATCCTAATGTGTTTGCTTAGGCACCAACATTAGTGTCAAAAGCACTTAATGCAAAGGAAACTCCCCAGGAGTGCTCTGCTCCCTGCCAGATCCCTCAGCCCCATGTCAGGAGTGTGTTCAGTGTTTGTTACTGAGGGCTGGGCAGTGAATTACCCTCTCATTCTGAGGGCTGCTTCCCACTCAGCCATATGGAGAAAAACCTCCTGGGCCCCATATTGACAGGCTGAGAGGGCTGGGGTTTCTCTGCCTGAGAGACAGTAGGTTTTGGGGAGAACTTATTGCATCTTCCAGGGCCTGGCAAGAGAGCTGGTGAGGGACTTTGGGCAAGGGCATGGAGTGACAGGACAAAGGGGAATGGCTCTAACACTGGAGGAGGGCAGGGTGAGATTAGATATTAGGAGAAATTCAGACTGTGGGAGTGGTGAGGCATAGGGTGCCCAAACAGGTTGTGGATTCTTCATCTCTAGAAGCGTTCCAGGCCAGGCTGGATGGAGCTTGGAGCAACCTGGGAGAGTGGAATGTGTCCCTGCCTGTGGCAGGGGGCTAGAAACAGATGATCTTTAAGGTCCCTTCTAATCCAAACCATTCTGTGATTCTGTGATCCTGTGTTGGGTGGTTGTGGGTCCTCGTGCACTCACATCAGCCTCCAGTGCCAATAAATCTGAGACGAGGATGCAAATATTTATTCTTGACTGATGCTGTGATCTCGTATTGAGCAGATGATTCCAACCTGTGACATAGTGACATCCTCCCAGCCTGGATTCTGTTAATGAAAACTCTTATTTCCCATCAGAAATCGGGGTTTTAGTTGGGGCTGGGTAACTGTGGCTGAGGTTCAGCCCCTGGGAAGCCCTGGCAAGGTGCCTGACCCCTTTCCCAGCCCCTGGCAATGACTCCAGATTTTCTCTGTGCCCCCAGCTGTCTTTCAGTGCAAGTAGCCTGGTTTGGAAGTGAGGCTTTAAACCAGGCTTACCTGAGCCTAGATGTGGGTTTTGGGGCAGAGGATTTAGCCAAGAGCCTTCCCATGTGACCCCACCTTTTAGTAAGCAACTGCAAGGGCTCTCCTCAGGCAAATGGAGGCCTGGCTCACTCACTGCTTAAGAATCCCTTTTTCCTTCATGATTTGTTTGCTGCTTTGATTTTTTTTTTTTCAAGTTTCTGTGTCTTTGATGTAAAGGAAACAGTTGGGAGGAATTTGAGCTGAGCTGTGGAGGTGAAGAAGTAGTTGGAGATTACATTTCAATCTGCTGTTGGAGTTTTGAAGGCAACTCTTACAGTCATTTTACTTTTCTAATATCTTCTTTCTTCCCCCTTTTTAGCAGAAAATGAGCTTTCCAGGGATTCCTGGCTATCACATCGTGCTGGAGGTGGGTAAATCCTCTCTGTGCCCACCAGGAGCTGCTGCTTTGCTGTCATTCACCTTCTGCAGATCAGCTCTGCCTGTGGAGGTGCCTCCAGCCTTCCTGCCATGCATGCTTGTCTTCCCTGGAGCTGTAACAAGGAAAACACAAAAAATAATATTAAATATAAGAATCCCCACAATTGCTTTAATTCAAGTGCTTTTTTCCTAGGATTTCCAATGCCAAACTCTTATGCCTGCAAATATCCAAAGCTAATCCATCTTTGTAAATGCTGGAGTCACCCTAACAGCAGCTGAACCAAAAATAGGCTTCCCTGCCCCTGCACCTTTACATCCTGTGCTTCAGAGCCTGCCAGGGGTGGCTCTGACTCTCAGGACACTGTCCCTGTCCCTTGGAGATGGAGGATGGAGGATCCCAGCCTGCTCAGGAGCTTTCCAGAGGGAGCTGGGAAGTGGCAAGGCTGGTTTGTTCTTCCCACATGCCAATTTACTGTAATGCAAGGCAAGTCACCTCCTAGCTATCATCAAAGTGCTAGTGTTTATTCCAGGGGATTTTTGGGGTGGATTTGCCTAGGGCTGGTGCCTGAGCTGGTGAGGCCATTAATTAGAGCAAACAATATTGACTTTCAGCCTCTTTTGAGAAACTGAGGATCATTTTAAAGAGACAGATCCCTAAAAGGGCCTTGTGCCAATCCCTCACCATTCCAGGAAGGCTGGAGCCAGCCTGGCTCATCCCATCCCAGCCTGTGCCTCCTGCTCTAGCAAGGGTTTGACATCCCCACTACAAATCCAGAGAGGAACTGACCCTCTTTCCATACATATCTCTGAGAGAGAGTGAGATCATTACAAACACTGCAGCTCTGAACAATTAATTGCTTGCAATGTAAGTATTACAAAGTGTTTTCACCCTGTCCCCAAATCCCACAGTTTCTCAGCCTGTAGAGAAGGGGTGTGAGCTCCTGCTCCTCCAGCCAGCTGCCTGGCTTGAAGCCAGTGTTTTTACAGTGCCAGGGAGCAGAATTTGGAATATTTGGGTGCAGACACAGGCTGTGTCTTTGTCACCACGTGCCTTGGCAGCTGGAATGTGGAGCTCCTCAAAGGGCATGCCATCTGATTTCCTGGCACGGTGCAATTCCCTGGACCCTTGGCATTTTACAGCCCTCAGAAAAGGTTTCTTGCTCAGGGCTTTGTGAGTGTTTGATGTTTTAAGAACACTAAGCAGACACCACTCTCCTAATCCTGTCAGACTTGCAAAGAAGCAGATATGTAATCCTTCATGGGTATTAAATTTAATAGCAATAAAGTCTATTTAAGAATTACACTGTCAAATGCCTGCCTAAGCAGAGGAAAATATTCTTAATTTAGACTTCACCAGAAATCTATTTTCAGTTTTTACTGTGGAAGTCTCCTCTGCATGTGTGGGGGTAAAGATGAGAAAAATCAGCAACAGGCAGTCCCAGATTGCTCTTTTCTGGAGACTTTTGAGAGAAACAATTCCCTGTAATAGTACATGACCACATTCACATGGGTGCACACACATCTGTACAACTGCTTTTAAATCCATAACAGCAGCTGTGGGTGCACTCAGGGGCACCCCTGTGTTTAAAAGGAAAAGCCCCAAGCTGCATAATGCATATTCATGCCAGGGGCAGGATTTTGGGGGGTGGGAGGGGAGATGTGCTGGGGGCTGAGAGAGAGGAGGTGGAAGCTGTGCCTTGGGCAGGATCAGCAGCTCTGGGAGGGATGAGCAGCAGGTGGGGCTGGATAAGGAATGGGGGGCACAGCCCTGAGGAGGGGAGCAGTGAGGAGAAGTCCTGAGCCTCTGGTTTTGGTGCCTCTCCTAACTGAGGAGCCATAGCTTGGCTTAGGGGGAAGCAGGTTCACTGGGGGAAGCAGGTTCACTTCACAGATGGAAAGCAGGTTTCTCAGCTGAGTAAACAGCTGAGTTAGCTACCAAATTAAACAATAATTTTAGTGTCTAAAAACTTTAACTCAGCCTCTACTTTTGGCTTGAAGTGGATCAGAGGTCCTTATCGGACCCTCAGTGCCCCAGTGCTGCGGCTGGGAGCCCTGGTGCAGGCAGGAGGATGAGGAGGAGCTGCTGTGGTGGTGGTACCTGAGACACAGCTCACAGCAGAGGAGAAAGTCCTACAGAAAAAGGCTTTTGTGAGACTTCAGGTCAAGAAAAAAGAGTAAAACTCCATCTTCACTGTCTGTGAGCTGTGCAGCAAAACGTGGTGGGCAAAACATGGAATGGTGGTTTCAGATGCTGAGGGACTTTTATCTGAGAAAAATTCCCATCCTGCTCCTCCCACCAGCCATGGCACAGGGAGCTGGGAGCAGAGAATGCTCTGGAAGTGAGACCTGCAGAAATCCAGCTCATCCAGAGCCTGTCAGGATGTCACACAAACAAATCCTGCGTGCCATGAGTGCCCCTCTCCACCTCCCCTGTGCCCCCATCCTGCTGGGTAGTCAGGCAAACACCCAGTTTTGCTGTGGTTTACACGAAAACTTCTTCCATGTGACAAACCAAGGCTGTGGTGTCGCCCAGCCCCAGCCAGCTGCCGGCACAGGAACTGCCTGATAGATACCACGGGCTAATTAAGGAGCTTTGAATTGTTTCTGCCAGCGAGGTGATAAAGTGCTGACTCTCCTGGTGAGGAAGCCTTGAGAAAGGTGACAGGGTTTTCCGTGCCACCCCTCCTGTCCCACGAGGAGCTACCAGCAGCTGCCTTCCCCTGGATGCAGGGGCAGGGATGGGGAATGCTCCTTCCCTTTGGAACTCATGGATCATCCCCACCATGGGCTCTGGATGATGGGCAGGGCATGGTTGGCGGCATGGGGGGACCTATTTGGGGTGGGAGGCAGCTCAGCTGGCTTTGCTTAGTGCCTGTCCTAGGGTGATGTTGTGATGCTTGTATCCCCATTCATATGTTCTGTTTATGCTGGATATTATGTTCTGTGCCTTCAAGACTAGCTCTGAAGAGTGAAAGTTTTGTTCTGGTTTTGTTATCAGCCACTCCCCCATGACTGGCGGGACACAGAGACAGGGCAGTACATGGTGCTGCTTTTGCTTTTTGCTTTGGCTTTTCGCTTTGCTCTTGCTTCTGCTCATTAGCTAGTTTACCTAAGCAGTCCAAATTTTTCCCTGGACTGTTCTTCCTTTCCTTTTTGGCACCACTCGAGCCTGCTCCAGGCTGGGCCCTGGCAAACCCCGAGAGTTTGCACCTTGTGGCCCAGCGGGGCCTACTCTGGGCAGCAGCTGCCCCAGCGCCGGAGGGACTGAGAACAGAGCGAGCACCCCCAGAGAGACTTTCTGAATTTGTCATCTTTTTCAAAGCAGTGACAGAGTGGTGTCACCCAGTATTGTTCATTTTGTGTGCTGGGGGGTGCTGTGCCTGTTAAATAAACAGGTTCTTTCCACTTCTCTCTGAGGAATCTTTCCGGAACCGGTTGGGGGTAAGGGCTGTGTGGGTTTGCTTTCTGGAGGGGCCTCCTTTGGAGGTTTTCTCCCAAATTTGCCCTAAACCAGGACAGTGCCACATCCTGGTGCCATCCTCCTCCCTAGCGGGTTTTTCACATCCATCCATCTCCATCCATCTCCTCGGCTCCAGGCTGCCGAGTATCCCAGGCTGAGCCTGCTCCGACACGAACCCGAGGGAGCCGGGCAGAGCTGCAGCTCGCAGATGTCTCCCCTTAAAAACCCCTTAAAAACCCGGCAAAGCGGGTGGAAATCCCCGGCCCGGGGCTGGAGCAGGGGTGGAGGGGGGGATGAGGTTTGGTTTGATCCCGATTAAGAGAGGGCAGGAGGAGCCGGAGCCAGCGCGGCCCCGCCGCTCTCAGCCTCGGATGACCCCGGGAGAGTCCGAATGCTGGCAGCGCTCCCTGAGCCACCGCAGAAAACTCTTCGGAACAGCTTTCCCTGCCTGCCATGGGCCAGGGAGGCACGGCAAGCCTTTTGCTGAGGAGTGGGGATAAATCTCTGCAGAGTTTACATGGGCATCTTTGCAGAATTTACAAGCCCCTCGTCGTTTTTCACGCTGGGAAACCATCGCTTTAAATCACACTGCAGGATCTGTTTTACAGCCACGCAGGCATTGTATTTCACACAGAGAATCTATATGCTTGGAAAACATTCAGCCCATTTTGCTAAAACCTCTGAGATAAACATCTTTCAGACTGAGAATCTGAGCTGTGCAATAAGAAGGCTGAAGTCCCCTAAACTTGTTGGTTTTTTTCTGTTTTTTTGTTTGTTTGTTTGTTTTTTTACAGAATTAAAAATGTGTGATAAAAGTCACATATTTCTGTGGCTGAGTCACCCCCTTGTAAACAGAGTGTGGCAAGAATGCTTTCCTTGAAACACCTTCCCTTGGAGCAGCCAAGCCTTGACCCTTCCAGACAGCATGAAAATATCTACATATATATATATATATATATATATATATATATATATATATATATAGTTCCAGTAGATTTTCATACTGTCTGACCAGCTGCCAGCATCTGCTCAGGAGCTGCCTTCCCTGGAGGCAAGGATACAAACAGGAATCTGTGCTGTGGCTTCAGTTTTCTCTTAAAATGCAGAATTGAATTTTAAACAAGTGAGAGAGGCTGGCTATTCTGTGATGGATGCTCTGTGTACCTGCTGACTGATGGAGGCTGTAAACCTGCTCCTGATGGAGCAGCACTGATTTACAAGGGCTGAGGATCGAGACCACTGGATTTATGTCAGACATTATGGCTTTTGACTCCTGGTTGTGTCCCGGGGAGTGCAGGAGAGGAAAAACTCACCCAAGTAAAAGGCAGCTGCTTGCCTCCATGTCTGTGGCAGAACAATATTGGCCTCTTAATTTCCTACTGATTAAACTGTAGGAAAACAAAATCTGCTTTGCCTGGAGCGATTTGGCTTCAGCTCAAAAGCTTTCTCATCAAAATGAAATATCATTTGCTGTGAGACCGTTAGCAGGAGGATAAATGTAGTTATAAAAGCAGCTATTTGTAAAACCCAAGTGGGGAGCAGCAAAATGCTGTAATTTAGGAGAAAATCTCCACAAGGGCTCTGGAGGGCAAAACTCCTTATAAAGCCCAAGTTTCATTAGGATTGTGTGATGAAACAGAGAATTGTTCAGCT